TGTACGTGAACATGTTATTCAACACAAACCTGCAGATTTCTGTTCAATTTACTCCAACAAATTTGTTCATTACTTCATTCACACAAATAGTAAAATAGGATATATTTTATTTAAACAGTATTGTGTTCGAGATAATATTCATGCATCGGTAAAAGTTGATTAACTTAAAAATATAATTTATTTACCTATCGGCGCTCAGAAAACTTGAAAAATGACGTCAATTTAAAAAAATATGATTTCCGCTCTCCCACAATGCACGGCGATGTTAAAATGTTCAATTATAATTCGTGATCGATCTCTCCGGTAATAAGCTAAAGGTTTTATCTAATATCAAAGGAAATTTGAGAATGAAAGTGATATTATCTAAGTCCAACATACAATTTTACGCATTATACTTAAAATGTGACGATAAGGCCTACATTTTGTGTTTTGTTTTGTAAGTAAGAACTCGATGTTTCACATAAGAGAATGATATCTACGACGACGTGTAGATATCAAAATGTCCCACTCCCTTTTTCTTTGATATCCTAAGGAAGAAACTTCATCTACAGCAGACTAATGAAGTCCTGAAATATCGGTCGTGTTGCCTAGGGAATTTCATTTCTTGTAAGCTGGAGACCCAGTTCTGTCCGATGACAACCATGAACATTAGTCTGTTAATTTGTACATTAAGACGGTTGTTGCGTAAATTATTTTCCTGTGGGAAATGGTATTTAAGCAAATTAATTTTATTGAAATGAGGCCTTTGATGAACGGCTAAAGCTAGTTTGGCTGTGCTAGCTTTCTAACTGTGATAAACCGACAGATAGTAAAACTGCATAATACAATTTTGAATAATACAAATAAAATTCGCTTCATTTTTACAAATCGTAATCAGCCTGTATTAATGAAGTAGTTTTATTGAGATATTTTAGGTAAGGGCCGAATCTTCAGGGCAATGAGGTGAAAAACCGATAACACGTAATTTCAGCAAGTACTGAAACTGGCGTACCTTCATCGAGAATGCGAGAGCGAATTAGAGTAGCTCCGTCGCCGTCATATCATCGTGTCGCCGACGTTGTGTCCTCCTGTTGTCGCTTTAGTATTCTCGCGTTGTCATTGTCGTGTTGTCGCTAGGCACTGCCTGTTGTCTAATCCTTTTGTCAACACAATGAAATTTGTTGAAATCAAAGTCTGGGGAGCAATATTGTGAGATTTACCTTTTTGACCCTTACCGGTCACATTATTTCTCCATAACTTTTATAAACTGTTAGTATGTTTAAGCTAGAAATCATATTGTCTCAACGATATCATTCTACAGATGAAGACCGATGTGTGTCGTTTTACTACCAAGTGAACCGACGTCAGTTCTATCTGGACGTCTATGTCCTTCCCGAAGGATCTAATACGTATGAACGTGTATGGGAATTACCTGGACCAGTACAGAAAGACACGTGGCTGTTTGCCGAAGTCGATGTTTCTGAAAAGGAGGTTTGTTACTTTTTGTTTGGAACCAACTTATGAAAAACATCAAAATAGCATGTTCTGCTTGTTTTTCCTTTATATAGTTAGTGCTGTACTTGTTTGTTGTTTAATCTGTACATGTTCTACTTGTTTGTTGTTTAAGCTGTACATGTTCTACTTGTTTGTATGTATGCTCTCCAGGGAGTTGAAAAAGATATTGATTAGTTGCAATAGCCCAATAGCCCCGGGTAATAATTTGTAAACCGCTTTGAGACAAACTACGGCATGAACAGTAACGACTGACAAAGCCGGGAGTGATAACAAATGTAACAGTAATGACTGACAAAGTCGGGAGTGATAACACATGTAACAGTAAAGACTGACAAAGCCGGGAGTGATAACAAATGTAACAGTAATTACTGACAAAGTCGGGAGTGATAACACATGTAACAGTAAAGACTGACAAAGACGGGAGTGATAACAAATGTAACAGTAAAGACTGACAACGCCGGGAGCGATAACACATGTAACTGTAAAGACTGACAAAGCCGGGAGTGATAACAAATGTAACAGTAATTACTGACAAAGTCGGGAGTGATAACACATGTAACAGTAAATACTGACAAAGCCGGGAGTGATAACACATGTACCAGTAATGACTAACAAATCTGGGAGTGATAACACATGTAACCGAAATGACTGACAAAGCCGGGAGTGATAACACAAGTAACTGTAACGACTGACAAAGTCGGGAGGGAACAGTAATGACTGACAAAGCCGGGAGTGATAACCCATGTAACAGTAATGACTGACAAAGCCGGGAGTGATAACCCATGTAACAGTAATGACTGACAAAGCCGGGAGTGAAAACACATGTAACAGTAATGACTGACAAAGACGGGAGTGATAACAAATGTAACAGTAAAGACTGATAACGCCGGGAGTGATAACACATGTAACTGTAAAGACTGACAAAGCCGGGAGTGATAACAAATGTAACAGTAATGACTGACAACGCCGGGAGTGATAACACATGTAACTGTAAAGAATGACAAAGCCGGGAGTGAACAGTAATGACTGACAAAGCCTGGAGTGATAACACATGTAACAGTAAAGACTGACAAAGCCGGGAGTGATAACAAATGTAACAGTCATGACTGACAAAGTCGGGAGTGATAACACATGTAACAGTAAGGACTAACAAAGCCGGGAGTGATAACACAAGTAACTGTAACGACTGACAAAGTCGGGAGGGAACAGTAATGACTGACAAAGCCGGGAGTGAAAACACATGTAACAGTAATGACTGACAAAGCCGGGAGTGAAAACACATGTAACAGTAATGACTGACAAAGCCGGGAGTGATAACAAATGTAACAGTAATTACTGACAAAGTCGGGAGTGATAACACATGTAACAGTAAATACTGACAAAGCCGGGAGTGATAACACATGTGATAACACATGTAACTGTAACGACTGACAAAGCCGGGAGCGATAACACATGTAACTGTAACGACTGACAAAGCCGGGAGTGATAACAAATGTAACAGTAATTACTGACAAAGTCGGGAGTGATAACACATGTAACAGTAAAGACTAACAAAGCCGGGAGTGATAACACATGTAACTGTAACAACTGACAAAGCCGGGAGTGAACAGTAATGACTGACAAAGCCTGGAGTGATAACACATGTAACAGTAATGACGGGAGTGATAACACATGTAACTGTAAAGAATGACAAAGCCGGGAGTGAACAGTAATGACTGACAAAGCCAGGAGTGATAACAGATGTAACAGTAATGACTAACAAAGCCGTGAGTGATAACACATGTAACAGTAATGATTGACAAAGCCGGGAGTGATAACACATGTACCAGTAATGACTAACAAATCTGGGAGTGATAACCCATGTAACAGTAATGACTGACAAAGCCGGGAGTGATAACAAATGTAACAGTAAAGACTGACAACGCCGGGAGTGATGTACCAGTAATGACTAACAAATCTGGGAGTGATAACCGATAACACATGTAACAGTAATGCCTAACAAATCCGGGAGTGATAACACATGTAACAGTAAAGACTAACAAAGCCGGTAGTGATAACACATGTAACAGTAAAGACTGACAAAGCCGGGAGTGATAACATATGTAACAGTAATGACTGACAAAGTCGGGAGGGATAACACATGTAACAGTAATGACTGACAAAGCCGGGAGTGATAACACAAGTAACTGTAACGACTGACAAAGTCGGGAGTGAACAGTAATGACTAACAAAGCCGGGAGTGATAACACATGTAACTGTAACGACTGACAAAGCCGGGAGTGATAACACGTGTAACTGTAAAGACTGACAAAGTCGGGAGTGAACAGTAATGACTGACAAAGCCGGGAGTGATAACACATGTAACAGTAATGACTGACAAAGTCGGGAGCGATAACACATGTAACAGTAATGACTGACAAAGTCGGGAGTGATAACACATGTAACAGTAAAGACTAACAAAGCCGGGAGTGATAACACATGTAACATTAATGACTAACAAATCCGGGCGTGATAACACATGTAACAGGAATGACTGACAAAGCCGGGAGTGATAACACATGTAACTGTAACGACTGCACAAGCCGGGAGTGATAACACATGTAACAGTAAAGACTGACAAAGCATGGAGTGATAACACATGTACCTGTAACGACTGACAAAGCCGGGAGTGATAACACATGTAACAGTAATGACTAACAAATCCGGGCGTGATAACACATGTAACAGTAATGACTGACAAAGCCGGGAGTGATAACACATGTAACAGTAACGACTGACAAAGCCGGGAGAGATAACACATGTAACTGTAACGACTGATAAAGTCGGGAGTGATAACACATGTAACGGTAACGACTGACAAAGTCGGGAGTGAACAGTAATGACTGACAAAGCCGGGAGTGGTAACACATGTAACTCTAACGACTGACAAATCAGGGAGTGATAACACATGTAACAGAAATGACTAACAAATCCGGGCGTGATAACACAAGTAACAGTAATGACTGACAAAGCCGGGAGTGATAACACATGTAACTCTAACGACTGACAAATCCGGGAGTGATAACACATGTAACTGTAACGACTGACAAAGCCGGGAGGGATAACACATGTAACTGTAATGACTGACAAAGTCGGGAGTGAGCAGTAATGACTGACAAAGTCGGGAGAGAACAGTAATGACTGAAAAAGCCGGGAGTGATAACAAATGTAACTCTAACGACTGAAAAATCCGGGAGTGATAACCCATGTAACTGTACCGACTGACAAAGCCGGTAGTGATAACACATGTAGCTGTAACGACTGACAAAGTCGGGAGTGAACAGTAATGACTAACAAAGCCGGGAGGGATAACACATGTAACTGTAACGACTGACTAAGCCGGGAGTGATAACACATGTAACAGTAAAGACTGACAAAGCCAGGAGTGATAACACATGTAACAGTATATAAATATGACATTCATTAGCAGGTGACAGTGAATATTGTCAACCCTCAAAAACCCATTGTCACCCTCGGCTTCGCCTCGGGTGACATAGGTTTTCTCGGGTTGACAATATTCACTTTTACCTGCTAATGAATGTCATATCTATTTTGTTACACCAAAAGTAAATGTAGCTCAGAAACGGCAGCAAACCTCGATAATGACATCTTGTTTGTTGATAGTCTGCTTTTTACAATCGCTATCGCACCGGCGCTTGATGAAATTGGCTGTTGCCGTCAAACGTTCTTGTGGCCATCACGGTGGGGAAACGAAGCAGTGCACGCACATTTTTTGCGCATGTGATATTTTTCACTGTCTCATTGCAATATCACCCGCGCCCCTTTAAACCAAAATATTTTCGGAGGGTGACAGATTTTTTTGTTTAATTTTCTCCCAACCAATCAAATAGCTAGAAATTCACTTGAGGTGTAACAATAATGACTAACAAAGTCGGGAGTGATAACACATGTAACAGTAACGACTGACAAAGCCGGGAGTGATAACACATGTAACTGTAAATACTGACAAAGCCGGGAGTGATAACACATGTAACAGTAACGACTGACAAAGCCAGGAGTGATAACACATGTAACTGTAAAGACTGACAAAGCCGGGAGTGATAACACATGTAACAGTAACATTGAACAGAAGTTAAAACAGAACACATTTCGCAGAAATATGGGACAAAAAACAGAAGAAATAAGCTATGTTTACGCCTGACAATAACTGACAAAAACATTAACGACTGAAAATGAACGTAAGTGACAACAGAACACATGTTATGAAAACGAGGGACAAAGAACAGAAGTGGTAGCACAGAAACGAGGGACAAAGAACAGAAGTGGTAGTACAGAAACGAGGGACAAAGGACGAGTATGTTAAGTTAACGAATGACAGCAAACAGAAATCCTAACATTTGATATAACGAACAACTTACGATTAACGAAAGTGATAAATATTTGAGAAAATACCAACTGACAATGACCAGGAATCATAACATATTTGTAATTATGACTTAACATTGAACAGATATTGCAGCCTGATACAATATAATAGTGGACGACTCCTGATCTATCAGATTCAAACTTGGTCTCATTTTTCACGGATACCCGTTCAGGAAACGGTGGAACTATTCCTAAAAATCACTCATGCATAAATTAGACATGGCTTAATAGATATTTCGATGAATTTAATTCAAACACGGTCGAAAGAAGCGTTGCAAGTTACGTCCGTGGAGCTCGAAAATGAACAGCTTGGGATATGGAACATTTGTTTGGAAATCAAATGTTTAAGTGAATAGTGTATGGTTATAATATAATTATTATATTGATGAGCATGGTCCTGAAAAATAAAATTTTGAAGAGTTAGGATCTTATAATTTAATATGACAAAGGGGGGTTTCAAAAATGGCCCCTCTTTTGATTTCAACCTTCTTTTGGTAATGTAGGTAATGCGTGCAGTACAGTAACGATACTTCCGATTGTGTTCAACGTTGAAATTAAGCAATGTCAATAACGTTGATAAAAATAAAATTAATCAACGTTGTTTCAAAGTCATATTACAACAACATTTCAATGTTGAAAACATTACATTGAATCGACGTTGATTTAACGTTTATTAACGCCACGAACAAATATCAACTTCATTTAAACGTTGAATAAACGTCGTGTGCCTGCTAGGATGATGCAAAAAATACGATTTTTGTCAGAAAAACTACTTTCATGCTGATATTCCATTTGTCGACCCCTATGCTGTTATCAAAATAATTAATTATAATAATTAGAATAGTGATTCATAGTAATAACTCCGAATGTATAAGAGATTGAAAAAATGTTAAAACAGCAGCATAAATCTCGTAGCACTTCTGAAACAAAAGGTATGAGAGGGGAGGTTTCTTTGTAATTTAAACAAAGCTGGAAATAGTCACTTTAAACCAAATTACACACAAACAAACAAATAATTCAAAACATTGTATTAACCATCACAAAGGTTCATAGTCAAATAATAGCAAACGACAAGGATTGATCAATGGTTACCAAACATATGTAAAAGTAACATCTTACACTGAATATAATGATATAACATGTACTAGCGAATATGTATGACAATGAACAGGAAATAAATATGTGTAATAATTAACACCTGATATTGAACAAGATTGATTTCATACTTTATAAAAAGGTGACTAAAACAAATAGACATGAACACAAAAAATAGCAGGTAAAAGGGAACCATTGACAAGGAAGAGGTAAAATACCATAATAAAGCACACCACCGCGAGTGACCAGACATTATATTATATCATGTGTACCTGTGGCAACTGACGACAGAAATATTAATGACATATAAAATGTTGTCAAAACGCATTTAAAAAAAGTGAAATCTATTGAAAATTGCATTGCAATTTTGTATCAGTGTTTGTTCTGAGATTGGCGTTTTTAACTATTACAGATAGCCATCGCTGGCTGGATCGGCCGTAGAAGATCAAGGGTCTCTGTAGACAACATCAAAGTCTCACTTGGAACATGCGCGAGTTTGAGTAAGTAACATGCATTGTGTATCACGTCCTTAACAATAAACGTCATTAAAACCGTATCATCGTCTGAATAGAAAGTCGGCGGCTTCATATGCAGTTACCATTCTTGCTGATCAGTACCAACTGTGTTATCGCCTCTCTTTGTTATCAGTACCAACTGTGTTATCCCCTCTCTTTGTTATTAGTACCAACTGTGTTATCTACTCTCTTTGTCATCAGTACCAACTGTGTCATCCCCTCTCTTAGTCATCAGTACCAACTGTGTCACCCCCTCTCTTAGTTAGCAGTACCAACTGTGTCATCCCCTCTCTTAGTTATCAGTACCAACTGTGTTATTTCCTCTCTTTGTTATCAGTCCCAACTGTGTTATCGCCTCTATTTGTTATCAGTACCAACTGAGTTATCTCCTCTCTTTGTTAACCGTACCAACTGTGTTATCTCCTTTCTTTGTTATCAGTACCAAGTGTGTTATCCCCTCTCTTTGTTATCTGTACCAACTGTGTTATCTCTTCTCTTTGTTATCAGTACCAACTGTGTTATCTCCTCTCTTTGTTAACCGTACCAACTGTGTTATCTCCTCTCTTTGTTATCAGTACTAACTGTGTTATCCCCTCTCTTTGTTATCAGTACCAACTGTGTTATTTCCTCTCTTTGTTATCAGTACCAACTGGGTTATCTCCTCTCTTTGTCATCAGTACCAACTGTGTTATCTCATCTCTTTGTTATCAGTACAAACTGTGTTATCTCCTCTCTTTGTTATCAGTATCAACTGTGTTATCTCCTCTCTTTGTTATTAGTACCAACTGTGTTATCCCCTCTCTTTGTTATCAGTACCAACTGTGTTATCCCCTCTGTTTGTTATCAGTACCAACTGTGTTATCCCCTCTGTTTGTTATTAGTACCAACTGTGTTATCTCATTTCTTTGTTATCAGTACCAACTGTGTTATCTCCTCTCTTTGTTATCCGTACCAACTGTGTTATCTCCTCTCTTTATTATCAGTACCAACTGTGTTATCTCCTCTGTTTGTTATTAGTACCAACTGTGTTATCGTTATCTCCTCTCTTTGTTATCAGTACCAACTGTGTTATCTCCTCTCTTGGTTATCAGTACCAACTGTGTTATCTCCTCTCTTTATTATCAGTACCAACTGTGTTATTTCCTCTCTTTGTTATCAGTACCAACTGGGTTATCTCCTCTCTTTGTCATCAGTACCAACTGTGTTATCCCCTCTATTTGTTATCAGTACCAACTGTGTTATCTCCTCTCTTTATTATCAGTACCAACTGTGTTATTTCCTCTCTTGGTTATCAGTACCAACTGGGTTATCTCCTCTCTTGGTCATCAGTACCAACTGTGTTATCCCCTCTCTTTGTTATCAGTCCCAACTGTGTTATCTCCTGTCTTTGTTATCAGTACCAACTGTGGTATCTCCTCTCTTTGTTATCAGTACCAACTGAGTTATCTCCTCTCTTTGTTATCCGTACCAACTGTGTTATCTCCTCTCTTTGTTATCAGTACCAACTGTGTTATCTCTTCTCTTTGTTATCAGTACCAACTGGGTTATCTCCTCTCTTTGTTATCAGTACCAACTGTGTTATCTCCTCTCTTTGTTATCCGTACCAACTGTGTTATCTCCTCTCTTTGTTATCAGTTTCAACTGTGTTATATCTTCTCTTTGTTATCAGTACCAACTGTGTTATCCCATCTCTTTGTTATCAGTACCAACTGTGTTATCCCCTCTCTTTGTTATCAGTTCCAACTGTGTTATCTCCTCTCTTGGTTATCCGTACCAACTGTGTTATATCCTCTCTTTGTTATCAGTTCCAACTGTGTTATCCCCTCTCTTTGTTATCAGTACCAACTGTGTTATCTCTTCTCTTTGTTATCAGTACCAACTGGGTTATCTCCTCTCTTTGTTATCAGTACTAACTGTGTTATCCCCTCTCTTTGTTATCAGTACCAACTGGGTTATCTCCTCTCTTTGTTATCAGTACTAACTGGGTTATCTCCTCTCTTTGTTATCAGTACTAACTGTGTTATCTCCTCTCTTTGTTATCAGTACCAACTGTCTTATTTCCTCTCTTTGTTATCAGTACCAACTGTGTTATCCCCTCTCTTTGTTATCAGTTCCAACTGTGTTATCCCCCTCTTTTATGAGTACCACATGTGTTTTCCTTCTCTTTGTTATCAGTACCAACTGTGTCATCCCCTCTCTTAGTTATCAGTACCAACTGTGTCATCCCCTCTCTTAGTTATCAGTTCCAACTGTGTTATCTCCTCTCTTTGTTATCAGTACCAACTGTGTTATTTCCTCTCTTTGTTATCAGTTCCAACTGTGTTATCTCCTCTCTTTGTTATCAGTACCAACTGTGTTATTTCCTCTCTTTGTTATCAGTTCCAACTGTGTTATCTCCTCTCTTTGTTATCAGTACCAACTGTGTTATTTCCTCTCTTTGTTATCAGTTCCAACTGTGTTATCTCCTCTCTTTGTTATCAGTACCAACTGTGTTATTTCCTCTCTTTGTTATCAGTTCCAACTGTGTTATCTCCTCTCTTTGTTATCAGTACCAACTGTGTTATCTCCTCTCTTTGTTATCAGTACTTATTGTGTTATCCCCTCTCTTTGTTATCAGTACCAACTGTGTTATCTCATCTCTTTGTTATCTGTACCAACTGTGTTATCCCCCTCTTTTATGAGTACCACATGTGTTTTCCTTCTCTTTGTTAACAGTACCAACTGTGTTATCCCCTCTCTTAGTTATCAATAATAATTTTGATATTGGTCGTCTAAGTGGGAAGGATATTTGTTGTATCTAACTGATAGGATGTAACAGAGTGTTATATGTTATCTTTCACTGGTACTAATATTTGTATTTCCAAGTTTGTTTTGACAAACACAGTTGCAGATATTGCTTTGCTTCATTAATTTAGGTAATATAATCGAATAGCCATATCTTTTAATGTATTTTCGGTAAAGATGAAATATTTGGTTAGTGTATTTATTAATTTTACATGTACAGGCAGGATAAAATGTCAAAAGGACGCAATTAAATCAAGATTATATTTATATTAGATTATCAGATCAATCACACCACTGCTAGGTATATCTATGGTAGGCTAAGACTTTTTAACGAAGTATGCTCATAAACAATTGGAATCATGTGGTACCATTACGGAGTGACTAATTCAGATAAAGGCCATTATATACATCAAATCAATTACCAAATCTCACTGAGATGCAATGGCTTCGTATCATCACGACGTGGATAACGTCTCTGGCTTGTCACAATCACAGGGTCTGTGCTTGTTACATGTACAAGCACGCGCGGGTCATCTGGTGGACTAGTAACTTCACTGGTCTAAGCATTTGGGCTTGGTGCTGTGGACATGCCCTCTTGGGCGGATTGGTCGAGTGATTAACGCTCCGGCCTTCCACGCGGTCAGGGTTCGATCCCCGAAATCGTCGTACGCATGCAATATCAGAGAAAGTATTTTTTTCTCCTGCCCGCACAACTACAACAACCAGGTGGAGTATAAATGGTCTGGGCTGGATGTTCCGGTATCTGGGCTGTAGAAATGTGGCACTATAAAAGATGCCGTTGGAAGCACGGTCCCACTACAAACAAAACTCAATACATCTCCAGCACACACACAGGCATACACACATAGGGCGATATTAGCCAGGTGGCATTGGACTAGTAGTTAGCGCCTGATAAGGCGGCTCCTGCGAATTACTCAAAAATTGTATTGATAAATGTATATGCTAATTGTATTAATTATATGTCTATGTACTGAAAAGCGCTATAGAGCGGCTTATGTTAGCTAGAAAGGGTGCTATATCAAATGCTGTATAGTTATTGTATTTATTCCCTCAAAAGGGATATGTGGAGTTAAGAATACTTGGGTACAGTCTTGAGCATTTTGAACGTCAGAAACCACTGTAATTTCACAGTTCGGAACACGTGCATGCGTTTGATCCACATGTCTCTTTCATTTCAGACCACCCACCTGAATAGCATACATGTATGTCATCGGTCCCAGCTTACGGAGAACAATGCCCTTGAATCTTTGTATTCCGACGATAGTCGCGTGTAATTACAATATCTCAAACTTCAAATAAACGGGTTTATGACACTGTATGTGCAGTTTTGTTGTTGTCATTTCCCAGACAGATCCGGAAGCTTTATATCAAGCCTGGTTCTCAATTTGTTTCCTTAGAATAGTTCACTTGGAGTAGTCTTTTTAAGACTGTGGGGTGTCGTACGATTACTACCAGATAAATGAAACAAATTTCTTGGTTCATGAAATCATCTTCCTGAACTATCGATTTTATAGCTTGCTTAAAAGTTCGTAAGGCGTGCTTTGCCCTACCATCTACGCTATGGTGATATGGTGCTGAAAGTTAATGACGCACCCGTTTTCCTTTAAGAATGTGATAAACTTCGGACCGTTAGGTATCTGAATCTGGTTTCTTGTGTAAAACTTATGACGTAAAAAATCCCTCAATGCATCAATAGTACTGGTTGTCGTTGTCGCAGACATGCCTATTGCACCAAGCCACTTCAAATGTGCATTTACTATGATCATAAACATTTCACCCATGAATGGACCAGCGAAGTCGACATAAATACGGCCCATGGCGCTGAATGCCATCTCTGGGTGTTGGTAGGAGACTTGGGAGCAGCAAGTCGTATGTTTTTGCATGCCTCATATGTGGTCACTTTCAGCTCAATGTCAGCATCTATGTTTGCGCTATGGTGATATGGTCTATGTAACCGAGACAGCAGGGATTCTATTCTTACAATTCCTGTGTCGTTGCAAGGCAACTCATATACAATATTATTTTGATATCGTTCTGGTATGATCACACGTACACCTCTCAGGAAACAGCCTTCATCAACGGGCAATGCCTCTCTGATCCGGCGATACGGCTGAGGAACATCCCTAGCTGGACATTCGGTCATCAACTTCTGGCAAACTCCATGACACGAGACAGAACTGGATAACCTTTAGTTGTCGATGTAACACGCGAAGCAGTAATGGGAAAACTTTTAACCTGCAGTCTGTTTACTAACTCGGCTTACTTTACTTAGAAAACATAGTCATCACTGTTGTAACTAGTTTCCATGGAAAGCGCGACAACGCATCAGTATTTCCATTTTGGTTCGTCTATCGAATCCGACAGCTGTATTGCCCATCGTCATAATCGTGATGAGACCAAAACTTGAATGTCTTTCTTTGGAGCCAAGATAGTCGCCAGAGGCTTGTGGTGGGCCAATAGCGGAATATGTCGTCCATAAAGGTATTGATGAAACTTTTGAATTCCAAAGAGAAAGCCTCTCTATGATTAATATTTGTCAGCCGAGGTACGCGAAACATACGCAAACGATTTGTCGATGGACTTTATTCCGCTCCAAGCCCACAAGCTGAGGCATTTAACGCCATCAATAATGTATTGACAATACTAAGCCAGGATTGAAGCTTACACTCGTTTTTAGAGTCCTCAAACTTCAAAATTGCTGGCACTTTCCTCGGAAAGGATGTATGGATGTATACCGCTTTTATTTACCTTAAACGCTAAATTGTATACTGTGTGTCATATGCATCCCACTCCCTAAATTACTTACAGGAAGTAGTTCATGGTACGTTGAAATATGAGAGGGGCAGCTGCTTCAACAAACAGACGTGTTGATCAATATAGATATCGGTGTGTGTTGATGATTACTAACTTCCGGGTGTCCTTATCCAACAACATTTGTTGTTACGCGCAAGTCAGATCAAGTTGTGAAAACTGATCGCCACCATTCAACTTTGCGAATAACTCCTCGCTGGTCGTAAATGGATACTCGGGAACATCCAAGTAGGGATTGATAGTAGCATTATAGTCTCTACATATTCTAACAGAACTCTCTGACTTCAACACTGGTGCAATTGGAGTGCTCAAGTTAGAACTATCCACCTTTTCGAGAATTCCCGCTTTTTCCGTTCGGTCAAACTCGTCCCAAATCTTGTCCGTCGGAGCAAAAACTACAGGCCCTCGGTGTAACATTCTCTTGTAATCGGAAGCTTTCCGTTCTTCTTTGACACTACCAAGTTCTCATTTAAAACCTTGTACTTTTGGAAGGTCTTTTCCTGTCAATAATCGTTGATGTTGCTATTGACGTATTTCCAGTTAAGTTGTATCAGGCTCAACCAGTTTCTACCCAGAAATGCTGGTCCATCTGCTTTGACAACGAGTAATGGCAACGACATCCGTTGGTTTGTATACTGTACTACTACTGACATTTTCCCGACAACTGGTAAAATTTGACCGGTGTATGTCATCAGAACTGTTGAGGCTTTGTATAGTTTTACGGAAACCTCGTACTTCTGTCGATAATCCTTTTTTTCCGAAATCAATGAAATAGAAGCTGAAGTGTCCAACCCCATTTTCTGTTGTTTGTTGTTTGTCAACAAGTCAATGTTAATTACTTTCTTGCCATTAGACTTGATAGAAAACAGAGGCTTTGCGTAATTTTAATCAGTTGCATTAGCCCAAGAAACCATTAAGTCTAGGATCTAAGATTCCTTTTTTTCACGTTGTGCCCATTTTTGTACATTCAGTATTTTGATGTGACCGTGGTTTCTTTATAATCGGGACGAGATTGGTTGGCACGACACACTCCTCAGATGACCAATTTCCCTTACAGTTGTGGCATTTGCTATTTTTATTACTATCTGATATGATTGTTCTTCACACAGCGAAAACACTGTGTTTTAACCTTGTGGGTCTTTTCCGCGTGCTAAATATTATCGAAAACAGCAGAGGATTCCCTTTGCGATATTCGCTCTCCGTGACTTCTATACTAACTGCAATGTCAATGATTTGTAGAAGTCAAATCTGCTTCAGAGAGAAATTTACGCTGTGTTGTAGTGGAAGCTAACACACACTTAACTCTATCACGGAAAACATCGTTACAGAAACCTTCACAATGGCTATGATCACTTAGTTTTCGGAGTTCGGCTAAAATTGACTCCTTTCACCCTCTTTCTGTTTTCGTCAGTGGAACTTGAACCATTCCGTTATCACCAAGGGTTTGGATTTCAGGTGATTACGAACATCAGTTTTCAGTTCATCTTACGTTTTGTCTACGTGCTTTGCAGTACTCACCACGTTTTGAATCAGCCCGTATGTTTTGCTACAGTTAGTAATATGGAACGTTCTCTATCTGCATCATCCACAAAGTTTTCTAGAAAATAGTGTTCCAAACGTTCTACGTACCCATCCCAATTTTGCGACTTTATATAAAATTCCTCAATGCTTTTATATCTAACAGTCATTCCGTGCAGTGTTTTTTTCTGTTTCATGTGTTGTTCTATTGTAAGCTAACGTTGATTATCGTCGCCACTGTAGTGTTAGTAGGGATTCTTTACCAGAATCAAATTAGATATCACACACCACTGCTGGGTATCTTTAATGGCGGACTCAAGACATATTACAAAGCATGCGCAGTATATACGACGAAACCATGCGGGACAACTAGGTAGTGACAGCCTACAGGACAATAATCCGGACAGAGTCTCGACTATACATAGCATCGCTTATAGTAGTTTTCGTGAAAATATACTACGTATTACAAGAAGGCAACGGATTATCTATGTGATGATAATTGAAAAATCAATGGGTTTGATTAAGTTATTCCTCTCGAATTGCCCGTTCATAATGATTGTAATAATTGTTAAGGCTAGGAATTTGATTTCCCAAACCTATTCGAGTCCTAAATACGCTAAAGTTAAGCTATATGCAAAACAAAACGCAATGTCCAACCAATGCTAGAATATAACAATGTGCGAGTTACCGGTCAGAGTGCTATCTAAATTGCTGTTTTCCAAAACATGAGCTATAACTATCATTGGCATATTATTTTTAGAATACAATTCTTTTACAGGCATGTGTAATTCCAACACATGTGCGAATGGCGGAACCTGCACAGGAACAAGCCAGAGTTTCACTTGCACGTGTGCTGCTGGGTACCAAGGTACCACGTGTACGGACATAGGTTGGTACATCTACTTTTGTATTCCGCCTTTGCGTATTGCAGAGTTATCTTATCTTGGGAGCAGGTATTGATTGTTACGTCACTTATTTGTGAGAGTAACGTCATCAATTTTTGAGAAAACGACGTAATTTTCTCGCACAAACCAATGACGTAACAATCAATACCTGCTCCCAAAAGAAGATAACTCTACAATACGCAAAGACGGAATACAACTCCTGTAAACAGAAGGTGCATTTTTTTCTGTTATAATGGAAAGACAATGGTTAAACAGTAAGTACCATGATCATGATTTGTTACGAAAGTAAGTTGTCTATTCTTAGGACAAGGCCTGGTTTAAAGTTCTATCATGACGATGTTATCACAACTTAGACGATACGCTGTGTTAGAGCTGATTGGCATGCTACCATTGTTACCTCATACCCAGTACATTGTTTAGAAGACAATTGTGTCATTATAAGAATAAAGTTTAGACACTATATTCGGGCAAGCTATCAAGCAGTTGCGAATTTTTGATCAGGTAAATGGTTGGTTTTGATGCCAATTGCGACAAAATGTTCTAATTTTAGATAACCAAAAGCGTAGTATAGTAATAACACATTGTCATTGCAATAGTTAGTATGTGTAACAGAATGCAAAATTTAGATATGATATAGATGTGTGAAAATGTTTTAGCAAAGGACTATATGCACTAAGGGGTGTTTTTGGCCCCATGCCTTATTCCCTTTATACTTATACCAATTGAAAGTGCAAGTAAAGACCTAACAAATTCTGTAAAACTTAAAATGTTTTTTTGTGTTTGTCCTTAGCAACAGGCCATAGCAACGGGCCATAGTAACATATTCAGCTCTGGTTTAAAAAGACAACATTTTGTGTTAAAATTAACATTTTGAACTCAAAATTTCATGTTCCTATTACAGCTGTAATATTTGTTATCTTAGACTAACAGTTTCTTTTTATTTATTCAGAGATAAAAGAAAAATATAATGATTTTGACCATAGCAACAAGCATCTTTGCATAGAAACTGACATTATTTACGGCTATTTTACATACAAATCACTACAATATACACATATTTGATACATACATTCATTTTCATTTACATCCAGAAAGTTAACTATATATTGTGTAATTTCCATTTAATTTTAGTGATTTTCCAAATACAACATTTTGACCATAGCAACAAGCATTTTTGCATAGCAACTGACATTATCAAAAAGAAGACCAAACGACAAATATATAGTTAAGGATTCTTTAATTGTTTTAATTATTGGCAAAGTATGGTCCTGGCTTCAACACATAGAAAGATGAACTCTGGGAACAGCAGCTCACCATATTAAATCGGTAAATATTTTGATATAGGGTACTGTTAAATGAATTTAAAATCAATTGTGTTACTGTTGGTCAAGTGAAACTCCGCCTCTCAACAAGTTGTACTTCATTTGATTAACAGATTTACTGGATGAATGATTAAATCTCATTATTACTATATTTTAAATACAAATCACTACAATATACACTTATTTGATACATACATTCAGTTTCATTTACAATAAGAAGTAAATTATATATTGTGTGATTTCTGTTTGATTGTAATGAACTTTACAAAACCAAATAGTGCATTATAAACATTTTGATCGCAGCAACAAGTATTTTTGCATTACAACTTTCATTATTTACATCTATTAAGCATACAAATCACTAAAATATACACATATTTGATACATACATTCATTTTCATTTACAATAAGAAAGTTAACTATATATTGTATGATTTTTGTTTGATTATTGTGGTTTTCACAAAACAAGTACATGTAGTACATTATTAATAAATAAGAATTGCTGCAAGTCAAAAGCAACTCTCATTTTCTTTGTATTTAAAGGAGATTAAAGAAA